AGAGAGAGAGAGAGAGAGAGAGAGAGAGAGAGAGAGAGAGAGAGAGAGAGAGAGAGAGAGCAGCCGCAGCAGCACCTATATTACTGTCTCATTTGGACCTGGGATGGTTATCCCGTTCTTTGTTCCATGTCAACTCACCCTGAGCATGATTTGTTCATTGCTAGTTAGTTGAACCAGGTCTCCATTTAATAGAAGTTCATAACTTCATGCTGATGAGAGATAATTACAGCAAGTTTGATTCTCTGTTCGTGCAAGATGGCACTTCTGGGTATGAGCATAATTGGTTGAAGTTTGTTCCTCGGTTGACAAGTAGGTTGGTGCTCCCTGGATGGGGTGTCATTCGTCGCATGTCTATAATAACCGTATAATTTCCTTCCGCCCCAGGAAATCGAACTTTCATTCCATGTGCATTTCATGTCATTTTTTTTGCCCTTTTCTTTTTTTTGTACATGTACTAGGTAACATACCTTGTTCATCATGTTCCATTGGCCCATCTCTGGAGTGAACTTTTGACTAGAACGCAACTGCATCAACCAGAATACCCAACCAGGGAAAACACATCAGTTGAGAACTTGAGACTTCAAAACTTGTGTGCTGTTTTGCTTACACCAATCCCGGCCATGCAAAAAGGAAAAAAGAGAGAAAGGGGACGAAAAATTAACTTAACATTGACCAAAGAGCATTGTGCTTGTTTTCCTTTACTGCAATGAATCCCACGCCAGTTCCTTCACATGTGGAAAACTGAAGCAGCTCCATGATACATGTGTTTGTTGCTTGGGAACAACACAGTTCTGCCACTGTAACAAGGGACCCGATTCTATCAGAAGAAGAACCAAGGCAGAAAACAAAATATACCTTTCTCAGCCTTTCGGCTAAGATCAACAGTAGTGTCTGCTCTGATCAGTTTAAAATCTGATCCTCAAAAAAAAGAAAAAAAGAGAGCCCATCTACTGTCATCGGTAGCACTGTGGGATGTCAGCAGCTCTATGAGCACTATCATGCCCAACACCGCAATTGAGAAATGTCCATATGTTGGCAACATGAGGCCACTGTGTAAGTGAAACATACATCTTGTGGCAACTGCTTAATGACTACTCAGAATACAGCCATTGAAGTACATGTCATACAGCGAACTACTCTGCATTCATCATGGGATGCACCCTAAACAATCTTTTGTCAAATTTTCCCTCTATCAGACACTTTCAATTTCCCAACGTCCACTACACTGCATCAGTTCATGAGCTGTATGTTCATTACACACTACTGGCATGCATGTGTTTCTCCTTGATGCATAGTATTTACTGTCAACCGTGTTAGTGCCACATGCAATAAATCACTATGGTTGAAAGTGCCGCTTGTTGTGGGGTTTGGCGTTAAGTAAACATAAACAAAAAGAAGTACAAGATTACCTGCCCCGCAAAAACATAAATGAAGCACGCTTGTTGTGGGGTTTGGCGTTAAGTAAACATAAACAAAAAGAAGTACAAGATTACCTGCTGCGGCTTCCGCCCGCAAAAACATAAATGAAGGGAAAAAGGAAAAACAGCATGAGGAATCTGACAACCCACCCTCTCTCTCTCTCTCTCTCTCTCTCTCTCTCTCTCTCTCTCTCTCTCTCTCTCTCTCTC